TTATGACCTTAATATTCATTATCATAGTTAAATATGAGACAAAGGCGATGGTTGGAGCTAATGAAGGATTATGACCTTAATATTCATTATCATCCCGATAAGGCAAATGTGGTAGCTGACGCTTTGAGTAGGAAATCCAATGCTACTGTTGCCACTTTGATCACAAATTAGAACATATGTTGGAGAACTTGAGGAGACTTGATATTGATATTCGACTTTGAGGATCTGGAGTGATATTTTCTCATCTTAAAATTCAGCTTGTTTTGATTGACAGGCTTGTGGCTACACAAAGTGATGATCCAATTCTTGTAAAAATTAAAGCAAATGTGGAACAGGGACTTCAACATGATTTTATAGTTCATGATGGAGCTTTTAGATTCAAAAACCATTTATGTGTACCTAATGATCCGGAGTTGAAGAAATAAATCCTAGAGGAGGCGCACTGTTCGGTGTATACAGTTCATCCTGGATCGACGAAGATGTATATGGATTTACGAGAAACATTTACCTTTGGTAGAGATTGCATATAACAATAGCTATCACTCCAATATTGATATGTCCCCTTATGAAGCACTGTATGGTAGGAGATGTATATCACCTATTTGTTAGGATCAGGTAGGAGAAAGAAGGCTGCTTGGTCCTGAGATAGTGCAGATTACGACTGAGAAGATTCAACAAATATGTGAGAGGCTTCGTATAGCTCAAAGTAGGCAGAAGAGCTATGCTGATAATAGAAGAAGAAAGTTGGAGTTTGAAGTCGGCGATCATATTTTTCTTAGAGTATTACCTACTAAGGGAGTGATGAGATTTGGAAGAAAGGGAAAGTTGAGTCCGAGATATATTGGACATTTTGAGACTTTGGAGAGGATTGGAGCTCTACCATACAAAATTGCATGTGCTAATTGTCATGCCGCGACGAGGATATCGCCTTTGTAAGGTGAGGTAAATGTGACATCTCACTAATTGACAGTGACATTTCAAATGAAATTTAGTCCTACATTGGTGGGGGAGTGGGAAATTGAGGTGTTTATATAATGAAAGCTAAAGACTCAAGTGCAACATCGGCTAGTCAATTTTTGCAGTGGTTTGAGCCAAAGTGTATTCAATGGTATGGCTACTTGTACAGGCCGGATTTATCATAGGCAGTGAGCATGCTTTCGAGATACATACACGACCTAGGTCCGGATCATTGGGATGTCGTGAGATGGATTTTGAGGTACATTAGAGGTACTATTAATGTTGGTTTGGTTTTTGAACGGGACACTAGCCGTGGGCATCTATGTATTGAATATATAGATTCGGATTATGCTAGAGATTTGGATAAACACCGGTTGATGACAGGGTATGTGTTCACTTTGACTCGAGCGCCGGTGTGTTGGAGATGCACTTTACAGTCTACTGTGGCTTTGTTGATGACGGAGGCAGAGTATATGGCGATTACGTAGGCTGTTAAGGAGGCGATTTGGCTTCGAGGACTATTGGATGATCTTGGTGTTTCGCAGCGATCCGTCACCATTTATTGTGATAGAATGAGTGTTATTTATTTGTTGAAGAATCAGGTCTTTTATGCAAAGACGAAGATTATCGACGTTCGTCATCACTTCGTTCGAGATGTTCTTGAAGATGGGGATGTGAAGCTCATGAAGGTCCACACAAAAGACAATCCAACGGATATGCTCACAAAGATGGTTCCGAATAACAAGTTCGATTATTGTAGAAACTTGTTACAAATTCGTGATTGTTGAGGCCGTTCGCGGCCATTTGGATGAACTACGGGCGGCTTGATCCCTTGGGAGAGGGGGGCACGTAGGCAACCTCATTGGTGCAGCTAGATTTGGCGAGACGACGCATTGGTGCTCATGTTGGTGTCGGGTCAGTTTTGGGAACACTTCGCCGAGGTGGAGAATTGTAGAAAATGGCGAAGGATTTAAAAAATCATGCAAAAACACGGGTATAGGAAATCCATCGGATCGGTCGACCGACGGCATAGGCCCGGTCGATCGACAGAATGTTGAATTACAGGATTTGAAACGATCTCTGATCGATCGATCGGGCTGGTCGACCGACCAGAGACGGTTTCAAATCCTGTAATTCAACAATCTATCGGTCGATCGGGCCTATGTCGTCGATCGACCGATCCGAGGGATTTCCTGTACTCGTGTTTTTGCACGATTTTCTCAAATGGCGAAGTGTTCCCAAAACGGAGCCAACACCAACATGAGCACCATTGCGTCGTCTCACCAAATCCGGTTGCACCAATGAGGTTGCCTACGTACCGGTGGCACATGTGCGGTCGACCGGAAAGCGGTTACGGACCAAATTCGGTTCCCATCCTGTTTTGGATTGATGTTTGATATAAATAACAACATCGTTTCTTAGGGTTAATTGAGAGCGTTTTAACCAGAGAATTGTGAGCCTTTTGAGAACTTTGTGAGGGAGATATTGTGAGAGAGTTGAGATCTTTGATTATGGTTATATTTGAGTGTTCGTGTGAGTTATAACCCGTTGTATTTCTCCTCCATATAATGAAATCTCCCTATCCTCTCCCCGTGGATGTAGGTAATTGTCGAACCACGTAAATTCCTATGTTTGGTTTGATTTGTGCCGTATTTTGGTGGATTGCACTCGTATTTGGTTTAGTTCTCTTCTCTCATCGCTTACTGATTTGTTTGGTTCACGAGCTCGCTTCTGCATGGTGCGCAACTCATCATTGATGTTGCCTCAATAAAGATACTGTTTCTCTGTGAATATTAGCATATTTCTCCAAATTAATAAAAAACATTTGAATACCAATTCAAACCATTAAGAAAACAATAAAATTGAAAGGGATGAATAAAAGAATTACTAGTTTGTAGTAAATACTTGAAATTGGAAAAATTATAGGTTTAGACTCTAGACACGAAGCAAATCTGACTTGATGCGATTTTAGGTGTGATTACAATCAATAACCTAAACCAAAATTGACAACTTTGGGTTTGGATATTGATAACAAGAAACATATGGACATGGTACCAACTCTATTCAAGTCATTAGATTCCTAGGTTATTATAACCTTCAGATAGAAATTATTATTCCTATCAAACTAGACCTCCTCACTAAATATCAAATACTATACCCTACTTTCCTATTTATTTATAATAAATAGCACCAATAAATTTAACAAAGGAATACCTCCAGTGTATAACATAAAGGGAAAAATGTGTCCAGGCCCCAAAAGTTGGAACTTCGTGTGACTAGCCCCCCTGTATTTTGCCCCATGTGGAATAGCCCCAAATACGTATAGTATTTGCGACGAGGCCCCGAATTGACTCTTTTCAGAAAAAGCCCAGCGAAAGTTACGATCTTGCCCTCTGATGGGACTGAGCTGGGTTAATGTGCCCCTCACCTTTACAAGTACTCTCCCTCTCTTTCTCTCTCTTCCACCTAGCACCGTCATCAAGAACTCTTCATCTTCCTAATTTCTATACGAATTTCAACGTTTCTAGGGTTTTCGCCGGAAAAATATCGTCGTCTACGGAAGAATCCAGTAACGACTACGAGGTCGGGCACCGAGCCGAGTTGGAAGGAAAAGGCGCTTCATCTGCGGGTGGCAGCACGGAGGAAGCTACGGAAGCTACGAAAACCCTAATCGAAATGCAAAAGGAGGCATTACAATGGCGAGACCAGAAAAGGAGGACGACAATGGCTGGTCGTACCAACGAACCCCCCTCAAAAAAACAGTAAGTGTTATGTTATACTGCGAACAGACAATGCAGATTAACCCAATATTGTTAGTTCTAGGCTTATGTTATACTGCGAAGAGACAATGCAGATTAACCCAATATTGTTAGTTCTAGGCTTTGTCCAATGTTAGTTCTAAATTTATACCAACGTTAGATCTAGTTTAAGTCCAATGTTAGTTCTAATATGAGTCCAATGTTAGTTCTATAATATTACGTGTTAGCTCTATTTTGTTCCCGTTAGTGCTAGGTCTAATATTTGTAGCGTGTTAGTTCTATTCTGCACAGTGTTAGTTCTGTTCTGTAGAGTGTTAGTTCTAATCTGCACAGTGTTAGTTCTGTTCTGTAGAGTGTTAGTTCTAATCTGCACAGTGTTAGTTCTATTCTGTAGAGTGTTAGTTCTATTCTGCACAGTGTTAGTTCCGTTCTGTAGAGTGTTAGTTCTAATCTGCACAGTGTTAGTTCTGTTCTGTAGAGTGTTAGTTCTAATCTGCACAGTGTTAGTTCTATTCTGTAGAGTGTTAGTTCTAATCTGCACAGTGTTAGTTCTATTCTGTAGAGTGTTAGTTCTAATCTGCACAGTGTTAGTTCTATTCTGTAGAGTGTTAGTTCTATTCTGCACAGTGTTAGTTCCGTTCTGTAGAGTGTTAGTTCTAATCTGCACAGTGTTAGTTCTATTCTGTAGAGTGTTAGTTCTATTCTGCACAGTGTTAGTTCTGTTCTGTAGAGTGTTAGTTCTAATCTGCACAGTGTTAGTTCTATTCTGTAGAGTGTTAGTTCTAATCTGCACAGTGTTAGTTCTATTCTGTAGAGTGTTAGTTCTAATCTGCACAGTGTTAGTTCTGTTCTGTAGAGTGTTAGTTCTAATCTGCACAGTGTTAGTTCTATTCTGTAGAGTGTTAGTTCTAATCTGCACAGTGTTAGTTCTATTCTGTAGAGTGTTAGTTCTATTCTGTACAGTGTTAGTTCTAATCTGTCTGTAGCGTGTGAGTTCTAATCTGCAGATTAGAACTAACACTCTACAGAACGGAACTAACACTGTGCAGATTAGAACTAACACTCTGCAGAATAGAACTAACACTGTGCAGATTAGAACTAACACTCTACAGAATAGAACTAACACAGTGTTAGTTCTATTCTGTAGAGTGTTAGTTCTAATCTGCACAGTGTTAGTTCTATTTTGCAGAGTGTTAGTTCTAATTTGCACAGTGTTAGTTCTAATCTGCACAGTGTTAGTTCTATTCTGTAGAGTGTTAGTTCTAATCTGCACAGTGTTAGTTCTATTCTGTAGAGTGTTAGTTCTATCTGCACCCATTTAAGTTCTATCATAGGTCATGTTAGTTCTATCATAATTCATGTCGTACCACGTACTAATTTACACCATGTTAGTTCTAGATGCAGCCATATTTTATTCTCTTTAGTCTAGTCTAGTATTAAATGTTAATGGTAAATATATTATTTGGTACAGCTTTGGTACTACGAGATGACAGGCATAAAGAAATATGCCCTCTTAGACACCTCCAGACCTCCAATGACAAATTGGGCATCAGGGGAGGAGAGAATCGCATCTATGAGGATGCCGACAATTATTTCAAAGGCTAAGTCAGCGTCAATAACATTTGTCCATAGGCCTATTGCGGAGGTCGCTTCTCCTGGTCATGTTCATTCACTTCCCGCTGAACAGAGGGATGAAGTTCTTCAGCAAAAGCGTCAGGCAAAGAGGAAGGCTTTGCAGGAAGAAACTACTAAGAACTTCTCAATAGGTTACGTAAGTATCCTGTTATGTTAAGTCGTACTCATTTCACACTAACTGCAAAGAATATCCTAATTATGTTTAGTCCTACTTAAAATTATAATCTTATATCAATAATAGATCATGGCAAAGCATATTGACGTTGCTTTTGACGATGAAGAGGAGATCAATGTTCTTCCCATTGAGCAGCAACTCACATTTTGGAGAAATTCTGCTAAATTTCTCAAACGACTTCTTGTTGCTACAAAGCAGACCAAGAGCAAATATTGTAAAGAATTCATGATTGAGATCAACAGGCTTAACAGGATAATTGAAAAATGTGGAAGACATGATGAGGTTATAGACCCGGTGCTGCTTAAGTCAAATATCAAACATAAAATTGCAAATGAAATTAGGAAGAAGCGACGGCCATCTCAAGAGGAACAGAAGTCCAAATCAAGCAGTGTATATAAGGAAGAGCCCACCATGCAAGAACATGTACATAAGATTGTTGAAGAGGATGTGATGCAGCCTGCTAACGATGAGGCAATAGAAGAGGAGCCTGTTACTTCTTCAGGGGAGGGGGTATATAGTAAGTTTGACCAGACTGTAGATACTAAGGTTGAGGATAGTGTAAATAAGGAAGATGAGCATATGGAAGATATTGTAGATAAGGAAGAGGAGCATATGGAAGATATTGTAGATAAGGAAGAGGAGCATATGGTAGATAAGGAAGAGGAGCATATGGAAAATGAAAATTTTATTGTAGATAACAAAGGTTTTGATGAGGATCCTGTTTATGGTGTAGATAAGGAGGAAGATATTATAGATAAAGAGAAGGAGAATGTAGATAAGTTGGAAGAACAAGAGGAAAAAATTAAACATGATGTGGACAAACTTGTAGAAGTTCTAGCGACCAATGTGGAAGCAAAGAGTAGACCACAGCCAAGAAGGGTAAGCAGGAGATCTAAATGGAAGAGGACACCATATACTGAAGGCAAAAGAAAGAAAAAGGAAAAAAATAGTATAGATATACTTGAAAGTCCTGAATCAAAAGTAAAACTAGCTGAAAAAGTTACTCATTTTTACCCCGGTAATCAAATCCCCACTTTTGATGCGTTGAGTTTGAAGCCAATGATAGATGAAGAGGAAGATCTATTGGGAGAGCTGAATAATGAGCTTCCAGACCCAACATTGTTTAACTTACGCATAATAGATAGCACAGGTGCTTTTGTACATAATTTAAAGATAACATCTCCCGTAGCAGAAAGACTCGACAAAGCTCAAATTGAGAGCCTAACCAAATTTTATTCTCAGAAGATTCACAGGTAAGTTTCAGTTGACTATTTATATGCTAATTCTCCACATATTAGTTCTAATTCATGTTACTTCTAATTTATACCAGGAGATATAATGTTATAGTAACAACCAACAGCAGTATTAACAGGGAAGAGTTGTTATATGTGCTTCGTGGTGGCCGCCTTGACGACAAGGTTAACATATACTTCCTTAATAATTCAAATTATATTATTTAAATTGAATTTTAATGTTTCATAACAATAACAGGTGGAAGAAGCAGTTTTGGACACGATTAGCCAGGAGGCATACGGCAAAGGATATGGAGTGGTATCGGTGTTCTTTCTTGTAAGAACATGCTATTCCTAATTTCACCACGTTAGTTTTGATTGAAATTCATGTTAGATCTTGTGTAATCCATGCTAGTTATACCATGAATCACGTTAGTTCTAGTTAGCATCAATTTAGACCTACCATAAGTCATGTTAGGTCCGTTCTGTAGAGTATTAGTTCTAATCTGCACAGTGTTAGTTCTATTCTGTAGAGCGTTAGTTCTAATCTGCACAGTGTTAGTTCTATTCTGTAGAGTGTTAGTTCTATTCTGCACAGTGTTAGTTCTAGTCTGCACAGTGTTAGTTCTATTCTGTAGAGTGTTAGTTCTATTCTGTAGAGTGTTAGTTCTAATCTGCACAGTGTTAGTTCTAGTCTGTACAGTGTTAGTTCTATTCTGTAGAACGTTAGTTCTATTATGTAGCGTGTTAGTTCTATTCTGCACAGTGTTAGTTCTATTCTGTAGCGTGTTAGTTCTAATTAATACGGTGTTAGTTAGCCTTCGCAGCTCATGTTTGTTTTAATTTCAACTCAAACATGATGTGTTTGCAGCACTCACTCTATGGCTTGGAGGTGAACAATTACGAGCATTATCTGAACTTCATTGACAAATATACCGCATACCGCATAGAGCATCTCTTGATCCCTTTGGTCAGGGACGACCATTGGCATCTTGTAGAAGTTGACCTTAAAGATAAAGTCGTCAAGCATTACAGCTCCGCTGGGCACGAAGCTTGGATGGAGCCTGTTAATAAAATCATAAAATTCTTTGATGCCCATCATGCTGATTTTATTGAAGACAATGTGCGCCAAATATTTAGATATCAAGCCATCAAATGCGAGCAACAAAGAGGACGGTTAGTTCCGATGTCTATATTGTTCAAATTTGTGTTATAGTATTCGAACGGACCGAAAATGTCTAATGAACTCACTCTATGTTGCAGCTTTGACTGTGGTGTGTTCGTCTACCTCTTTGTAAAATCCATAATTGAAGGACGATCAACATTGCTGGTTAATCCTCCGAACGATATCCCTGAAGCTATGCGAGCAAGACTTGCCACACAATTATTACTGGCTGGTTTTGAACAAAGACATAAAGAAGAAACATTGTACAGTGATGAATGATATGTTCATACAAATACAATAATGGATGTATATTTAAGTAATTGAAAATGATTGTTATCAGATGTATTGTTCTATCTGTACCATGTTCGTTCTAGTGATGCTCGTTAGTTCTAACTCATACAACATTAGTTCTATTCTGTACCATGCTCGTTAGTTCTATCTTATAGCCAGTATACCACGTTATATCTCATTTATACCACGTTAGATCTAATTTACTAATTTATACCAAGTTAGTTCTATTTTATATCACGTTATAAACCTAATTTATACCACGTTATATCTAATTTATACCACGTTAGCTCTAATTTATACCAAGATAGTTCTATTTTTTACAACGTTATAAACCTAATTTATACCAAGTTAGTTCTATTTTATACAATGTTAGATCTAATTTATACAAAGTTAGTTCTATTTTATACCAAGTTTGTTCTCATTTTATACCAAGTTAGTTCTAATTTATACCAAGTTATTTCTGTTCTGTAGAGTGTTAGTTCTAATCTGCACAGTGTTAGTTCTATTCTGTAGAGTGTTAGTTCTAATCTGCACAGTGTTAGTTCTATTCTGTAGAGTGTTAGTTCTAATCTGCACAGTGTTAGTTCTAATCTGTAGAGTGTTAGTTCTATTCTGCACAGTGTTCGTTCTAATCTGTAGCTTGTGATGGCTTGTTAGTTCTATTTTATTACACGTTATATCTAATTTATACCACGTTATATATCTAATTTATGTTAGTTCTATTTTATGCCAAGTTATAAACCTAATTTATACCACGTTATATCTCATTTTATACCAAGTTATTTCTAATTTATACCAAGTTAGTTCTATTTTATACCACGTTATAAACCTAATTTATACCACGTTAGATCTAATTTATACCAAGTTAGATCTATTTTTTACTACGTTATAAACCTAATTTATACCACGTTAGATCTAATTTATACCACGTTATATCTAATTTGTGTTAGTTCTATTTTATATCACGTTATAAACCTAATTTATACCACGTTATATCTAATTTATACCACGTTAGCTCTAATTTATACCAAGATAGTTCTATTTTTTACAACGTTATAAACCTAATTTATACCAAGTTAGTTCTATTTTATACAACGTTAGATCTAATTTATACAAAGTTAGTTCTAATTTAAACAAAGTTTGTTCTCATTTTATACCAAGTTAGTTCTAATTTATACCAAGTTATTTCTGTTCTGTAGAGTGTTAGTTCTAATCTGCACAGTGTTAGTTCTATTCTGTAGAGTGTTAGTTCTAATCTGCACAGTGTTAGTTCTATTCTGTAGAGTGTTAGTTCTAATCTGCACAGTGTTAGTTCTAATCTGTAGAGTGTTAGTTCTATTCTGCACAGTGTTCGTTCTAATCTGTAGCTTGTGATGGCTTGTTAGTTCTATTTTATTACACGTTATATCTAATTTATACCACGTTATATATCTAATTCAAGTTAGTTCTATTTTATACCACGTTATAAACCTAATTTATACCACGTTATATCTAATTTATACCACGTTAGCTCTAATTTATACCAAGTTAGTTCTATTTTTTACAACGTTATAAACCTAATTTATACCACGTTAGATCTAATTTATACCTAGTTAGTTCTATTTTATACCTAGTGTTAGTTCTAATCTGCACAAGGTTAGTTCTATTCTGTAGAGTGTTAGTTCTAATCTGCACAGTGTTAGTTCTATTCTGTAGAGTGTTAGTTCTATTCTGCACAGTGTTAGTTCTATTCTGTAGCGTGTGATCTAATTTATACCACGTTATAATCCTAATTTATACCACGTTTGATCTAATTTATACAAAGTTAGTTCTAGTTTATACCAAGTTAGTTTATTTTATACCACGTTAGATCTAATTTATACAAAGTTAGTTCTAATTTATACAACGTTAGTTTATTTTATACCACGTTATAAACCTAATTTATACTACGTTATATCTAATTTATACTATGTTAGATCTAATTTATACCAAGTTATAAACCTAATTTATACCACGTTATATCTCATTTATACCAAGTTTTAAACGTAATTTATACCACGATATACCTAATTTATACCACGTTATATCTCATTTATACCAAGTTAGTTCTAATCTACACCATGTTATTTCTAATTTATACCATGTTAGTTCTATTCTGTAGAGTGTTAGTTCTATTCTGCACAGTGTTAGTTCTATTCTATAAAGTGTTAGTTCTAATCTGCACAGTGTTAGTTCTATTCTGTAGAGTGTTAGTTCTAATCTGCACAGTGTTAGTTCTATTCTGTAGAGTGTTAGTTTTATTCTGCACAGTGTTAGTTCTATTCTGTAGCGTGTGATGGCTTGTTAGTTCTATTTTATTACACGTTATATCTAATTTATACCACGTTATATCTAATTTATGTTAGTTCTATTTTATACCAAGTTATAAACCTAATTTATACCACGTTATATCTCATTTATACCATGTTAGATCTAATTTACTAATTTATACCAAGTTAGTTCTATTTTATACCATGTTATAAACCTAATTTATACCATGTTATATCTAATTTATACCACGTTAGCTCTAATTTATACTAAGATAGTTCTATTTTTTACAACGTTATAAACCTAATTTATACCACGTTAGATCTAATTTATACCAAGTTAGTTCTATTTTATACAACGTTAGATCTATATTATATAAAATTAGTTATATATTAAACAAAGTTTGTTCTCATTTTATACCAAGTTAGTTCTAATTTATACCAAGTTAGTTCTATTTTATACCACGTTATAAACCTAATTTATACCACGTTATATCTAATTTATACCACGTTAGCTCTAATTTATACCAAGATAGTTCTATTTTTTTACAACGTTATAAACCTAATTTATACCAAGTTAGTTCTATTTTATACAATGTTAGATCTAATTTATACAAAGTTAGTTCTATTTTATACCAAGTTTGTTCTCATTTTATACCAAGTTAGTTCTAATTTATACCAAGTTAGTTCTAATTTATACCAAGTTATTTCTGTTCTGTAGAGTGTTAGTTCTAATCTGTAGAGTGTTAGTTCTATTCTGCACAGTGTTAGTTCTAATCTGTAGCTTGTGATGGCTTGTTAGTTCTATTTTATTACACGTTATATCTAATTTATACCACGTTATATATCTAATTTATGTTAGTTCTATTTTATGCCAAGTTATAAACCTAATTTATACCACGTTATATCTCATTTTATACCAAGTTATTTCTAATTTATACCAAGTTAGTTCTATTTTATACCACGTTATAAACCTAATTTATACCACGTTATAAACCTAATTTATACCACGTTATAAACCTAATTTATACCACGTTAGATCTAATTTATACCACGTTATATCTAATTTGTGTTAGTTCTATTTTATATCACGTTATAAACCTAATTTATACCACGTTATATCTCATTTTATACCAAGTTATTTCTAATTTATACCAAGTTAGTTCTATTTTATACCACGTTATAAACCTAATTTATACCACGTTATAAACCTAATTTATACCACGTTATAAACCTAATTTATACCACGTTAGATCTAATTTATACCAAGTTAGATCTATTTTTTACTACGTTATAAACCTAATTTATACCACGTTAGATCTAATTTATACCACGTTATATCTAATTTGTGTTAGTTTTATTTTATACCAAGTTATAAACCTAATTTATACCACGTTATATCTCATTTATACCACGTTAGATCTAATTTACTAATTTATACCAAGTTAGTTCTATTTTATACCACGTTATAAACCTAATTTATACCACGTTATATCTAATTTATACCACGTTTGCTCTAATTTATACCAAGATAGTTCTATTTTTTACAACGTTATAAACCTAATTTTTACCACGTTAGATCTAATTTATACCAAGTTAGTTCTATTTTATACAACGTTAGATCTAATTTATACAAAGTTAGTTCTAATTTATACAAAGTTTGTTCTCATTTTATACCAAGTTAGTTCTAATTTATACCAAGTTAGTTCTAATTTATACCAAGTTATTTCTGTTCTGTAGAGTGTTAGTTCTAATCTGCACAGTGTTAGTTCTATTCTGTAGAGTGTTAGTTCTAATCTGCACAGTGTTAGTTCTATTCTGTAGAGTGTTAGTTCTAATCTGCACAGTGTTAGTTCTATTCTGTAGAGTGTTAGTTCTAATCTGCACAGTGTTAGTTCTATTCTGTAGAGTGTTAGTTCTAATCTGCACAGTGTTAGTTCTATTCTGTAGAGTGTTAGTTCTAATCTGCACAGTGTTAGTTCTATTCTGTAGAGTGTTAGTTCTAATCTGCACAGTGTTAGTTCTATTCTGTAGAGTGTTAGTTCTAATCTGCACAGTGTTAGTTCTATTCTGTAGAGTGTTAGTTCTAATCTGCACAGTGTTAGTTCTATTCTGTAGAGTGTTAGTTCTAATCTGCACAGTGTTAGTTCTATTCTGTAGAGTGTTAGTTCTAATCTGCACAGTGTTAGTTCTAATCTGTAGAGTGTTAGTTCTATTCTGCACAGTGTTCGTTCTAATCTGTAGCTTGTGATGGCTTGTTAGTTCTATTTTATTACACGTTATATCTAATTTATACCACGTTATATCTAATTTGTGTTAGTTTTATTTTATACCAAGTTATAAACCTAATTTATACCACGTTATATCTCATTTTATACCAAGTTATTTCTAATTTATACCAAGTTAGTTCTATTTTATATCACGTTATAAACCTAATTTATACCACGTTATATCTAATTTATACCACGTTAGCTCTAATTTATACCAAGATAGTTCTATTTTTTACAACGTTATAAACCTAATTTATACCAAGTTAGTTCTATTTTATACAATGTTAGATCTAATTTATACAAAGTTAGTTCTATTTTATACCAAGTTTGTTCTCATTTTATACCAAGTTAGTTCTAATTTATACCAAGTTAGTTCTAATTTATACCAAGTTAGTTCTAATTTATACCAAGTTAGTTCTAATTTATACCAAGT